CAGAATCATTTCTTACAGTGTAGTCCTGATTAGTGTTGGGCTAGTTACTCAAACTTTTTTATATATTATTTTTTACTCCTTTTAAAAGTAATATCATTATTTTAATTATTACTCTTTGCCAACAGTAATTAGTTACACTACCAGTTATATTACTTTTCTGATACTCCCCACAAAATTGGTAATTGGGTCCATTTTACCCATAACTCAGACTAGTTTCCTCCACGATTACAAAAATGAATCCATGGATGTGATTGGATTGTTGAACAAAAGATATATTGTAATTAATTATTTTTTGGAGGAGTTAATAGTTTAGTTTATCAGTAGTAATTAGTTAGTTTACACTACTACTACTCACACAGGAAGACCATTGCTTAGCCCCCAGACAAAACAACTAGTTTATGTTTTTATATTTACTGAAGTAATGGCACCTTCACAGTCAACTGTCAACATGTCTGGTTTAGGCCTAAAAGCAAAATAATAGATATTACTGAATAAATGCCACTTGTAAATATAAATAAACTGCAATAAAATTGGCACTATAACTACTTTATTATGTAATTCAAATATTACTACTGATACCATATGAGAAAAAGTCAATGGGGATTAGCTACAACAATGGACCCAGTTTAAGCAGTTTTAGTTTGATTTGATGGATTTTGTGAAATTTATTAAATTGCACAAAGCAACTAGTGTGAGTCCATTAACAATGATTGAACACAAAAGAACTGTACACCAAGGAGTACTTCAGAACCTTTTTGCCAAGAGAAAATATTGCTTCCAGGGACAGTTCACTGTTTTCCAATCAATACATCAATCATATAACATCTAAAACTACTATACCCTTCACTAACAATAATCATACCAATAAGGGTATGGAATTAGAATGGTTTATTGCATATTATGGATGAAAGTGAGCCAGGATGGTATAGTGTAGGGAGATAAGGGATGGACGGATGGGGGTGAGGGTTGAGGGATGGAAGGATTAGGGGAGAAAAGATGGTTGTGGACGGATGGATGGTAGAGTTTGAAGATGCACTGGTGTCAGCTGGTGGCGGGAAGAGAACCTGGAGGAAATCAAGACTGAGTGGGGGAGGTGTCTCTTCCTTAGCTTTAATTAGGTTAGCGACCAAGTGGTTTGGGAAACGAGGGATGTGAAAACTGAGTGAAAGAGAAAGTGAACGGATAAGGTGAGCTTAAGTACTTTTTGTGTGGAAATGAGATGAATTTAAGGCGTGGTGTTTGTTCCTGAACCTAGTTATAAAACTTAATTTAGTTGTGAATCAGCATGTTAGCACACAATTCTTTGTTTCAGTAACTTTGCAAAACTGCTCTTCTAATCTTCTGCTCCCACAGGTTTAACTGAAGCCATTTTTCAGGACAACGCTCTGCAGTATGTTGCCAACAACTCCCTGACGAGCCCCATAACCAACATCACCATGGACATACGGACACGGGACACAAACGGAATCTTGTTGCGGGCCACCAGCAGAGCTGAGGTCTTCTGCCTGGGTCTGCTCAACTCCTCCCTGCTGGTCAAACTGGACAGCGGCGTGAGTGCCGAGCTGCTGGCCTTCACTAGCGACAGAGTCATCGCGGACGGAGCGTGGCATCAAATCCAGCTGACCATGGTCAATCCCACGCAGTTGGCGTCCCGCTGGTGCCTCACTGTGGATGGGCAAAGAGTCGGTGGCAGCTTTGGTGTTGGTGGCAACCTAAACTTCCTCAATGACACTAAAATCTGGCTGGCTGAGAAATACACTGGATGTTTAGGGGATGTGAGAGTGGGTGGAGTCTACCTCCCACTCATAAATGTACCAGACGCCCCTCAGATGAGCCGGTTCTCCAGACTTGGCGGGCACGAGCCAATCATAGGATGCCAAGGTGCACCAATTTGCGATTCCCAGCCCTGCCTCAACCAGGGTGTATGCCAGGACCAGTTTAACGAGTTTAACTGCAGCTGCAGTGCAGGATGGGAGGGGGAACTTTGTGAGAAGGAGATAAATGAGTGTTCTTCGGGTCCCTGTGTCTATGGTACATGTAAAGACCTTCTGGCAGACTACAAGTGTGACTGTGAGCCTGGATACACAGGGAAAGACTGTCAGGATGAGGTGGATAACTGTCTGGAGTTCAGCTGTGTGAATGGAGGAACCTGCATGGAAACAGTGGGAGCACACACATGTTCATGTCCTCTTGGATACATCGGCAAGCGCTGCCAGTGAGTACAAACCTTACTGTTTCTCTACGGCACATGTTAGGCTCACATTCTGAAGAATTACCACGACTGACCTGATTAGGCTGCAGTGTTATGATATCGTTGTAAGAAAAAAAAACATCCTGTCAAGTGTTTTATTTGTGTAGATATCAAACTTTGGCACAGTTAGATATCCCTGCACACAGCTGTTGTGTTCACTGTTGCTTGTTTATATATACATGTTTGGTTAAATATGTCCATAAAAAAATGTTTTGGGGTAGACCTGACTCCCATCTGCTGCAGTGATTAAACACCAGGTTTTGCTCAATATGAGATCTGCTACAATTGATTTTATTTCCACTTGGGGGCAGCGGAGCTAGCTAACGGCGTAAAATCAACATTGTATCACCTTATAAAGTTGATATGGCAAACGTGTCTATTGCCTGTTTACACATTCAGCCTCCATTTCGTGCTGTTTTGGTCTCCAACAACTTGTGAGAAAAGACTATTTAGCTGCTAATTGTTGTTCACCAGCTAGTCACTAACACTGTGTCTGATAGCGTGCAGTGAGTCTAAGCAAGCGTCAGCCCATTGTGATGTCACCCATTGGTTTGTGGAGTAACGTTTGGCAATGACGTACTGTGAGTTGAGATGCGCTCATCGGCTGCGCAGTTTCAACTCTTCTGTAGCAGGAAACAATGGTGGCTCACCTGGTCACATGTTCTTATATTCCAGATAGACAGTACAATAAAATATTTTAGTGAAAATATTTGAGGAAAGAAAAGTAAAGTAACCTAATCGTGATTCATATTAGATCATTTTAAGATAACAATTATTTACCCACAGTTAAGGTATCCAGCTTTATGAACTAAATTGTAATTTTTGCTAGCTTCATGCCATTCACATTTGTACTTTTCTTTACATTACTACTACTGAAATAATACCATAGCAGCACAATTTTATCTTCACACAAAAGTTTCCATTAAATTAAACTAGCACATGTTGTGTTGTGTCAAATCTCGCCAACTACAGCTTAAATCATTATTGTATAACTATTAATTGTGCAGATCTTATCTCACATGAAGTGCTTTTGGGTCGTAATTAAAGGTCACCTGATAGTATAAAATAATACATTAGTGAGTAAGATAAAGGTGTTATTATAAAAGAAGGTTGCACAGCGAAATGTAGATCCTTCATGCTACACACATAGAACATGTGATAATTAAATTTAGATTACAATAGGATAAAATATAAAATAAATAAGTAAGTAATCAAAAATATATTATTATATATTATTTATGATATATACATGTATGCACCCTGAAAATAGTTTTGTAGTGCATTTTTTTGAATTTGCAGGGAATATAATGAGTATGTTTGTGGTTCCAATAGGTGGCGTTTCCCTCCAGTGGCGTGCGATGCAAACACAGAGTGTCTAAATGGAGGGGTTTGTATAGGAGGAGACTCTGGAGGTAACTGCACCTGCAAGCCAGGATACACTGGAGCCAGGTGAGAGCAGCAAACTGCACATTCCTCACAACATACCTGCTGCTCAGGAGGAAGTGTAAAGGCCATGAATGTGTGAGCTGTCGCTGTCACTCCGCGTTCTGTTAAAACCCTGCTGATGTGTTTCAGGTGTGAGGCAGAGATAGACGAGTGTGAGTCCAGCCCTTGTCTCAACGGTGCCACCTGCCTGGACAGACTCAACCACTTCCAGTGTGAGTGTGTGCCGGGGTTCAGTGGCACACTGTGTGAGCGCAACGTAAGTGACAGACTGACACTGACTCTGGGTTTATTCACTTTCACAGCACATGTGCTAAATTAGAACCTACTCTTTAGCTGCCACAGAAGTAATGATGTAGAAATGGGTAAGAACACAGACATACATGAAAAAGTATGAGTTACTGTAAAACAGCAAAATAGCATTACTATATGTTCCTCCCGTAAAGTAGTGTACTCCTCTCTAAATTTATAACATTTCAGGATATCTAAAATAAAGCACTAATGTTTGTAGACTTTTTCCAACCTTTTAATGAAATAATGGTTTTCATTATGCCAGATTTTAGGGGGTGCTACAGCCCCCTCCGCATCCCTACTTCCAGCACCCATTATTGGCACCCTCTCAAATATGTATATTTGTAAAAAAAACCTGTAAGTTCTTTTGGGTTAACTTGACTAATGCATGCTGAACGGGAGTAGGCATTTTTACATTTTCAGTGTTGTTTATCTTTTGTTTGACTTTGACTTTTACTTCCAATAAACAGACCCCTTAAGGGTGACACTTGCTTTGTCTTTTTAGCTCTTAAGTTGATCAGGAGGACCAGTCCAATTGACTGTTTGACCTATGACCTTTTTGAGAGGTCCTGCAGAGCATCTGGACTAAAATCCATGTGCAACTGCAGACTTGAATGATTGTTGTAAGAATGCTGTATTAATGACTTTTATACCTGGAGACATAATGTTTCAATACAAAATGAGTTTGGTTGTTAATAAATAGATTTTTGTCCAGATTCTCTGCAGACAAGGTAACTGGAGGAACACTAGTCAAAAGCGTTTTTCCCAACCTGGCAAATCAAATAATTGCTTAACGGATCTATACATAAATTGTTGATTAACCATCATTAGTTACAAATAATAAACATTTTCTGTTGAGTGGCAAATTAAAAAGATGTGACCATGTACACCTAACATTCTGTCCTGTCCTCTGGCAGAAAGAGCAGCATAGGGAGCGGATCCCCTGGCTGGCAGTAACCATTCCCCTGACCACCCTGTGTGTGTTGCTGGCCATCCTGGTAGTGTTTTTCCTCATCATGACAGCGCGGAAGAAGCGTCAGTCAGAGGGCACATACAGCCCCAGCTCTCAGGAGGTGGCCGGTGCCAGGCTGGAGATGGGCAGTGTCCTCAAAGTGCCTCCAGAGGAGAGGCTGATCTGAGGCTTGTAGCCCTGCCTCACAGCCTCACATCCAGTGGATGTATTGATATGTGAAGGACCTGGAGAACATGTGCTTTGCTGTGTGGATGATAGACCAATGACTGATCCTCTATCAAGGGAAACTACTGAAGCCTCAGAGATGGACAGGTAGGCTGAGAGACAGACTGAGGCTGTTGGGGAGAGTGAGGTCAAAGGATGCTCTGACCTTGGACATCCCCTTGAAGAGTCTTGAGGACCGTCTCAAGCTTAAATCTCACAGGACCAAAATCATGTGAGGTACTAAAGAAAAGCCCCAAAATCTATGGATATTAAGAAATGTATTCACACAGGTTGAAAATCACTGAGATTCTCCAACACTCTCCATGTGGTGGTGTGAGGACAGGCAAGTCAACACTGAAAACCTTTCTCTGTGGACTGCTGATTCTGTTCTGCATGGCAGGGGAGAGATGAATGTGTGGAGGGAGAAAAATACATTTGAAACAAATTCTGTCAAATGAATTTGCATGAGTAGACATGGCTAAATATTATCAGGGGAGCCATTCCTTCACCAACTCCTTTTAGCAGTGTTACATTACATATACAAGGCGTTAATTGTAAGAAACACTAATTTGAATCCTGGCTTTATCTTGTTGGTAATTCTAATCCTGCATGACTTCAACTATTCTGCTATAATGTCTCTTCTTCCACAGGAAATTTGTGATCTTAACAGTCTTAAAAAAGCGAAATCAATTGAAGAAACAATTCAAGCCTTGTGGTCCTCTTCGCTGAATCAGACATTTTGAATTTGTACGATATTGCCTCGAGCACCTGTGAATTCAGCTACTTAAAGCTGCAGTATATATTTTTTATAAAAATTACTTTTTGTCATATTTGCTGAAATGTTCACTATATCCTGACAGTAGTATATTAGACAGATAATCTGAAAAAATCTGGTTCTGGCTTTGATTGGTTGTTTTCATTCAGGCCCGGTAGATTCTTGCAAATGCCATTAGGAGCACAAGGAGGAGCCAGAGGAACCAGATTTTTTCCACAGATTATCTGTCTCATGTGCTACTGTCAGGACATACTCAAAGTTTCAGAAAATATGACGGTTATTTTTTTATAAAAAGTACCTACTGCAGCTTTAATATATATGAAATAATTCTTGTCCCATGGTTGAAGGCTTCCATCACGTGCCTCCATTTCCATTCACTGCATTCCTCCTGACTGTCTCTTAGCCAGTTCATGTGATGGAACATGAATCCAGGACCCCCAAATACGGTGTGAATGGATCACTGCAGCCTCTGCAGGAGTCAAAAACTGTTAAAACTGCTGTATTATATTGTCAATGTGCACTGTATGACTCAACAGGCTAACTGCTCTGCCCATTCTTTGTTGCTGTGTAAGGATGCTGAGTGTTTTATCTATGTCTTTGTGTTGTGTATAATGCAAAAGTCACTGTATTTTATTTTTTTGTAATATTTTTTAAGGGGAACAGTATTTAATTGTAGGTATCTTATTGCTGTGCTCTATGCTGGTCACATCAGTATTTGTGGACATAAAAAAGGTTCTTCTAGTGTCAGAAAAGTGCCAGTACTTTAGCAGGCTCTGTTGGCAGAAATGGAATATAACATTCATAGGTATTTTTTCATTAGGGGCGGCTGTGGCGCAGTGGCAGAGCAGGTTGTCCCCTAATCGGAAGGTTGTGTTTAATGGATGGAGGTTTTCTTGTCTTCAGTGACTGTTGCCTTAGATTTGCTTCTCAATCTTATAGGCTCAATGAACCCCCTAGATTGATTAAGGTAGTGAAGAGTGTGAAACCTTGACAGAATATCATTCTTATATTATTTTCATTGCTTAACACTAACCAATGAACATAACAGTGAAATAAAAATATTCCCCATTTTTAGTAGACCAGTGAAACCCCCTCAAGACCTTAACTTAAAAGACATAATCATTGTTAGACACAGGGTCTTATTTGCAAAATGAGATATGAAATAACACCTTTCAATATAAACCAAAATATTGTGTTGTGTAGGTTTTTTTTTCAGTCTGCAGTAAATACTTAAATATTAAAATATAAAATGTAATGTAAACCATTTTACCTTTGTTATCAAAAAAATGTTTGTTCTGCAATTTGGACATTGCAATTAGTGTATTCTGATTAATGTTTAAATTGTCAGCCTTAAAACAAAACCAGTTTTTACCAAATGAAAACACCCCAATCCAGATTATTCGTTTTCCTTCGTGATTTATTTTCCCTTGAACATTGTTTAATGACATATTTTATACTTGCCACCTTGATCCAATTTGAAGGGCGGCCATGTCCCACTAATACACAAAATTACAGGTGACTATGCACCTGGATTTAAGTATACATTCTTACTTTACGAGGACAATCATTAAATAGCCTCCTCATATTAGATATAGTGTTATTTCCAAAACGAGGTATTCACTTTTAGAAATCAGCCAGGCAGCCCAGAAACAAGATAACTATAGACAATCGATACTTATGAGACTTGTTATTATTTCTAAAGTGAAATATATATTTTGGAATAAGGACTTTTCCTCTACAGATTCTATCATGTGCTGTACATGGTAACAGGCTTTAGTAAAAATAACTCCAGTGAGAATCACTACCATTCTGTACATAAGCGGGGTACTTATCGGTCCTGGTGTGTTCTGTGTAAAGTCTCATTCACTGTTAAACCACTGTATGTTCTGTACAATACTACAAAGCTCAACATAAACATCTGAATATTTGAGCAGAGTTTGCTTCCCTTTGCACTTCTCACAGTGAGGTTTCTGAACATAATAAACAGAAGCACAGGATTCTTGCATTTCATTGGATGCAGGAGAACAGAAGGCACAATGAATCTCATCGTGCACATACGTCCCTGCAGTGTTTTAAAAGAGCATTAAGTAATTTTATGACCTTACAGAATTCCAGTAGGATTACCAACAACACTGCATCCTCGCACAAAGAGAGAAGCAATTGGACGCTGTGAGGTCCGGTTGAGTGCACTGAATGTATCACCTGTAAACCAACTGTAAATGAACAAGATGTTTTCATCCATAGGTCCACTGAGGAACCAAGATCCCAACTCGGGACAGAGTTGGACCGATACCAAATTATAGTATATATTATTAGTTTCAGGCTTTCTCCAGATGTCGGAACCTGCAGCAGAGATTGCCCAGTCACTACACTGATGTTGGGGATAAGGGCTGGCTCAAAGTTGGTCTCTATTATCCCAAATGTGTTGGATGGGGTTGATGTCAGGGCCAGTCATAGTTCTTCCAGCACCAAAACTAGTGGAAATAATTTCTTATAGGAGCCTGCGCTTCGTGCACAGAAAAGGGACAAACCCAAAGTGGAATGTACACTATTGTCCAAAAGGCATCATTATGCTGTAGTATTAACATGTGCCTTCTTTGGAACTGGAAAGCTATACCCAACAATGAAAAACAGCCTTACTAATTAGTATGTGAACAGGAGTCCACATACTTTTTATGCAATCTATGCCCAGCATGTGACAATATGTAGGCAGCTATACTATGTCAGGATTAAAAAAGCATTTCACCGTGGAAACATTAATCTTTATTGGATAAGGTTATATTATGTATGTCGAAATGTAACATAAATTTTGAAATTTGGGTGCCTATTGGACCAAACAGAGTGTTTGGTATCTCACCCCTCTACCAAAGATTATGAGGACTCCTGCTTCCAGTGATGCAAAATGACGATTTTACATCATTGAAGCAGAAGTGCAAACCACTGAAAAATTTTTCCGTATATTCTCCCGATCTCAGGGAAAATGAGGAATGGCACGCCATTCAAAACTATGAACTGGGTTTCTAAACGCTACAAAGGCTTATGCAAAATGGTGAAGTGTCCCTTTAAATATAAGCCAAGTAAACTAGAAATTGTGCCAACCCTACTTAACCCATGTCATAATATCTACTTATTAACTCCTTTAAAATGACATTAATACTACCATACAACAGTAATGACCAGTGGTTTTCTTAAATTCAATTCAGTTGTGACTTGCCCATCACTTCCCTTTCACAAGCTGTTTCTGTGCCCATCCACATGAAACACATATACAGTGCGTTACGTCTGGAATTCATATCACATTAGCACCTTTAGTTGTGTAAAAGCATCCTGGTTCAGTGGTGAAATGAAGGGTTAGCAGCACTGAATTGATTACAGGAGTAAAAGGCAAAATGAGCAGTTGGATTTTCTGGGAATGAAAATGGGAGGTAATCAGTGCCATTACATGTTTTAGAAGGTTCGTAACTCGATTATAAGAATTTAATTACGTTACTTTAGGGTCTAGGGCATGTCTGATCAAGTATTTGTGGAAACCTTATCCCAATAGCCAGTAATAGAGTTTTGGTCTGGATCATCCCATACGATTCTCATTTTGTAAAATGGTGATTTTAAGATGGTTTATAAACTTTAACAAATAGTTCAACTTTTGGAAGTATCCTTGATTTGCTTTCTGCCTGAGAGCAGAAAGATGGGATGATCAGTCTTCATTTCAGGATGTAAATTGTACTGGATTCTGGACGAGTTAATAGGGATCAGCAAACACAATTTCTGCATCTGTTCAACCAACTAGAATTTATCTAAAGCTTACTTGAATGGGTGTGCTGTAACCCAACCAAAGTGGGGCTTAAACCAGAAGTGGGTGGTACTAACTGAAAGATGTTGATTTAGCGCTGAAATTGGATATGGGTTGATCAGAGTTGCTATATTTAAAATACTGTAATTATCATACCCCTGATGATACTCAGTACTCGTATTGTCAGCTGCATACTCACTCAACCTGCAAGTTGGCAATAATACATCTGCTATCTTGTAGTTTAATCCATACAAGTAGAAATGTAAAAAAAAAATGCTAAAAACTTTTTTCTGACTCGGCCCATACTTATGTTATGTCCTCAACGCACTCTGAAAGGAAGGAATGAAAGATTTCCAATCGGTGTTGAATTTATTTCTTTAAATTAGCTACAATGAAGTAGACATGCTTTACAGGCCATGCTGTAACATTAGAAGGACTATTGCAGAAAGGAATATAATACTCATAGGTAATTTTCACACTGTCTTTCACACTGAAAGGCGAGGTGAACGACAGACTTGCAATTACCATAAACTACCACAAGATGCCCCTAAATTCTTGATAACTAGCTAATATTCAAGTAGATTCTTTGAAGACCTGGTTTAGGATTTAGGGTAGCTACGGTGAAGAATATCAATTGAAAATACAGCTCGCTTCCAAGCATAAGAAACTATGTTCACTGCAAAACCTGCGAAAAACTACACTATTACCAACTAACACTACTGTACTGTATTAGCTGCATAAAAAACATGGGCAGTTCAACATGCAAACTCTTAGAAGAGACCCGCATTCTAAAGTTACAAAAACTTTAGGTACAAAGTATATGCACCTTTGTAGTCTCACATCTCAAGCACTTTACACTACGTGCCACATTCACCCTTTCACACACATTCACACAGTGATGGAAAGCCCACGACAGAAAACTAAGCATTCATTACACATTCACAAATCAGGGAGAAATCAGCTTTCAGGTATCTTTCTTCAAGGATACTTCGACATGTGGCACCAGAGC